CCCAAAAAGATCAACAAGGCCAATAACGGATGACAACGAGAAGCTGCCGCCTGCTAAAAGAGCCGAACCGTAGACTCTGCAAACAGCAAGGACAAATTCGGAGACGAAAACCAAAGAGCCAGGGCCCAGGCAGAGGCCAACGAGGAAGCAAGTACCACGAGCCTACAAGCAAGACGTGAAACAAAAAATAGCGACACCTCAACCCGAAGGAGCAGTGCAAACAGCTCCAGCAGGGCAGAATGATGCACGCGAAGCAGAGTACCAGATAAGGAGAACTACCCAGGATGTGTACAGCACGAAGGCAAAAATGTAATGTCTGGCAAAGGAACACAAGGAAAAGGCTGTAGCCAGGGACCAGGCCTCGTAGCCTGGTGGATAGCGCGCAGGACTCGTAATTCTGTGGCGCGGGTTCGATTCCCGCACGAGGCAGAAACAAATGGGCAAAGTTTCTTTCACCCTGAATGCCCCTGTTACCTAGCAGTAAATAGGTACCTGGGAGTTAGTCAGCTGTTACGGGCTGCTTCCTGGGGGTGGAGGCCTGGTCGAGGACCGGGCCGCGGGGACACTAAAAGCCCCGAAATCATCTCAAGATAACCTCAAGATAGGGCCGTAATCCTAGCTCTCCCTGTCCCAACAAAAAGGAGCAGGAGGGGCAGGAGTGGATGAATAGAACCTACAGCCACCAGCAGACATTGCAACACAGAAGCTGGTGGGGATATACAAGAAGATGAAAGAGCCTAAGTTCTACAACTGAACAGCGGGGCTGTTCAAGCACAGGGAACTGAACATGTACACAGTCCAACCTAGCACCAACACTAGTACTGTATAGCCAATAAGCACATCCTAAGACACAAAACAATGTGTAGAATAGAGGTAGGGAACACAATGAAAACGGAATGTACATGATCAAGTAAACATACAGACACACTCGAATGTATACAGAGTGCAGCCAGGCACTGAACGAGGGCCAAGGAAGGAGCGACCAGAAGCAAGGACCGAGTCAATGAACGAGTGTCCATCTGATGTTCCATGGAACCCTTCCCCCCCAATCAGGCCTTAACCTTGGGCTGAGGAGCATTGATATAAGCACATAGGAAGGCCACGTTAAGATGCACACACGCAAAGTGGCCAAGCAACATGTTACAAACAACACCCAACACTCGTCCAAAAACCAAGAACCAGCACCTGGCTGACAGTGTCACCAGACCGTATACACTCACCTGTAAAGCGTAGACACTATCGTGTCACGACACAACTGAGCCATGTGACATTTCGGGAACAACACTAGAGGATCATGTCCAGAGATGTGTGAACTGGAGAAGATGAGGTGTAGAGGAAAGGCGGAGGTGGAGCCACTCTGAGCCACCCCACATCCATAAAAGCAGAGAAAGAACTAAATGTTCTGCCCATATATAAAATCCAGAACTTCTCCAGTATTCAGGGGGCTATGACTGGAAAGAAGATGAGCAAGAGCACCATAGAACCAGTGAGAAAGGACGCGGAAAACCAACATGATTAAACCGCAGAGAAACCAAAACAAACACCCGCGGCGCATGCCTGAGGACCGAGCTGCAATACCCAACCCTCGGGGAAGGGTGCCAACAAGGTGAACTAAACGAGCATTAGTAATGACGAAACAGAGTATGGAGATAAGATGGAATAAAAAGAGAATGAGATAATATCGAAAAACGATAGGTAGGATGGAAGAGGACCAACGAGCCTGAGAAAGGAGTGGAGGTAAGCCTCACCGGCAGACGATAGACGTTCCAACAATATTGAAAGAAACGAAAATCATCCCGAACCTTCGAGACCCTCAAGAAGCAAGCACAAAAGCATGGAGGCTCACATGGGCCCAGTGGCATTCGCAACCAATGGTCAAGCAGGATCCCGAGATGATGAGAACATGATGACACGACGGAGAAGAATACACGTCTAAGAAAAGAAGGGTGAGAACGTGGTAAAATCACCCACAGGAAGGACGGAACCAACAGACCCAAGGGACACAGAACCGAACCCGGAAAGGGGCCGACGCCCTACAAACTCGTACGCATAGGGAGGAAACTGCCCAGAGGGTTGGAAAACCCAGGTGGGGTCCAACAGGTCCCAAGGCCCCCAAGCCAGCCCCTCCCCAACCCCGGGAACCTCCAAGTCAGGCCCCAGGGGCGGGTCGTTCTCCCAAGCCCCGGTTCCACACAAGAAAAATCTGGGGCGGCTGAAATGGCAGGAAGAGAATGGGCCGACTGGTCAGACCCCGGAGCTACGGCTGGAGGAACGGACTCGAATGCCTCCGTAGCCACCCCAGAAGGGGCAACTCCTAAACTGCCCGAGTCTCAGAAACCTCGAAACCCTGCCCCGACCCCAAAGCCCTCAGACGCTTAGGAGCTGGAAGCGGGGAAGAGACCAAATGAACCACAGCAGGGAAAGAACTAGGGGGCGCGGACGGAACCAAAGCCGAAGCGACCAACACCCCCAAGTCTGGGTCCCTATAAACAAAACGGGACAGGCTCAGGGCATCAGGGGAAGCAACCAAATGAGCGCGCTGCAACAACCTATACCTATCTTGCAATGCGCGAGTTGCCTGCACCCAAAATATCAAAATGGGCGAAATGAGTCACAAACAAGCAACAAAGCTCTCAGGACTCTAGGTCAAATGTGTCACCGACCCAACAGGCAGCATGATGGAGGCAAAAACAATGAGCGCTGCCCTGAGACAAGGGGACAGAACAACCCTCAAACTCGCAAAAAGTGAGAGGGGACTCAGGGATCACATCCAACAGACCCGAGCGCCCCGTGTGGTTTCCCACGCCCCTAGACTGGGTATGCTAAGGGTTTACCCAGGCAGGGTACTGCTAACTGGTGCCCAAGCTAACAACCAACACTGCTAAAGCTTAAACATTGGGGACATGTCCACTCACGAGGGCGAAGCAAGCGGTACTACCAAACACAAACAATCCTAATATAAAGGGGGAGGGACACCAAGGCAGACCCCCCCCCCCACCAGGAAAAACAAAAATAAAAACCTTGCATGATTACAGTGTACCCAAAGGGAACAGAGCCGGCCGCTGTTATAGGTGAAAACTAGCTACGCAGTACCCGCGCCCCTATCAGTGCAAAAACTACCGCTTACCCCACAGCAAACAAGGAAGGAATCCCCCAAAATACTCGGGGCGGTCAATCGCCAAGCAGCAAAAGATCAACAGAGGTAGACCCAAGGCGACCTGGGGAGATACATGCACTGGACTATATCCAATCCTATCTTAGTGATAGACACCAATGTGTAGCCATCAATAATATAATCTCTCCCATTCTACCAATAACTGTTGGAGTGCCACAGGGCAGCATCTTGGGACCTCTTCTTTTTCTTATATACATTAATGATCTGCCTAATGTCTCTAACATTCTGAAACCTATTTTGTTTGCTGATGATACTACCCTCATCTACTCCAACCCCAACCCACATACACTAAATGGTGTTGTTAATAATGAACTAAAAAAAGTCCACTTATGGATGTCAACCAACAAACTAACACTTAACATAGAAAAGACCTACTACATCCTATTCGGAAGCAAATCTACAAATGCAATTCAGCTTCAGATTGACAATGTAAACATTAGCAATAAAAATGATGGAAAGTTTCTTGGCATATTCCTAGACAAGAGACTCAACTTCAGTACCCACATACAACACATAACTAAGAAGTCTCTAAAACAGTTGGTATACTCTCCAAAATCAGATATTATGTTCCTAACTCTGCTCTCATCTCTCTATATTATGCACTAATCTATCCCTATCTCAACTATGGTATCTGTGCATGGGGTTCAACCACTGCAAACCACCTCAAGTCCATCATCACCCAGCAAAAATCTGCTATCAGAATAATATCAAATTCTGCTTTCAGACAACACACAGCCCCCTTGTTTAACTCCCTAAACATGCTAAACATAATCTCACTCCACAAATTCTCTTGTGTCAACAACATTTACAAAACCCTGTTCTTAAATGCAAATCCTTGTCTGAAACTCTTCTTGGACAGATGTAATAGGACCCATTATCACCACACCAGAAATAAACATCTCTTTGATATCCCCAGAGTTAAACTTAATCTGTGTAAACACTCTATGCAAATAAAGGGACCCAGTTTATGGAACTCACTCCCTACTGAATTGAAAAGCTGTCCAACTTTTACATCATTCAAAATCAATACTAAAAAATACCTAATTTCATCTTCATAGTTTTTCACTTTTTGCTTTAAAATTGCACTGTATCAATTACCCAATCTCCCAACCTCTATGTTCCCAATTTGAACATCTTTACCATTGTGATCATTGCTGTTTTCTTATATGTGCTGCCAATCTGTTGTATGGTGTTTATAAATCTTGTTTATCTGTATCTTTTGCTACCCAGTCTCCCAATCTTTATGTACCCAATCTGAACATCTTTACCATTGTGATCATTGCTGTCTTATATGTGCTGTCAACCTGCTGTATGGTGTCTATTAACCTTGTTTAAGTTACTAATCAAGGTGTCAATGTAATCAATCAGAGCTTTAATATAACAATGTGCTTTAATATACTTACTTATCTCTCTCATCTCATTTTTCTCTTGTAATGTATCTTTATCATTTATCAATTCTGATTGAAATTACCTACTTAATATTATCTGCTAGATTAAGGACCTGCCCGAAACGCTGTGCGTACTAGTGGCTTTACAAGAATGTAAATACTGTACTATCCAATGTATTCTCACAAACCCAATGTACCTTCTTGTATATATATATGTATATATATGTACAATATGTAATTTAATATGTAATTTAAAATATGTAATTTATATATCTTGTATATATATGTACAAGAATGTAACAACTCTTGTATATATCTCAAAAAATATATAAATAAATACAAGACACTCCGTACATTGACAACATCGGATTCAGCAACTCCCGGATTCAGCCCCGCCGTTCACGAGCGTATCCGGGTTCAGTGTTATTGTTTACTCACGGTCGTGGAGGGCCCAGTGGCTTAAAATTGAAATAAGTTTATTGAGGTAAAATACACACAAAGGGATGAGGTAGCTCAAGCTATTCTCACCCCGTTCGGTACATCGTGTTCATACATACATAGACACACATCACAAGCAATAAACGTATTACCGAACATTCTGAGAGATAAACATATACATTTCCTCCTTTACACAAGTAACCCAGTGGCTTCAGCTATACAAAAGTGCTGGTATACTTAGAACTGAGTAAAAGAAACCATATTTATACGCTGAGTGCACCATTGAGTTTCTCCATTCACCTGAAATACATGTATGGTTTACGTAATAGGTGCATGAACTTTGAACTATATATTCTTTTAAGCGTTTCATGCCCGAAACGCTTTGCGTAATAGTGGCTTTAGGCATTGTATGTACTAGCTCTACCTATAAGTCAACCAATCTTTGTAAAAATTTATTGTATGTATGTACCTTACCTAAATAAACATTTTATTTTTTTTTATTTATTTTTTTATTCATTGATAAATATAGATACGAGTGCATAAACATATAAAACATATAAACATGAGTGCATTAAGTGAAGCTAGATACATTTACCGGAAAAACATAGGTGAAATATACTGATATGAGAGTTGTGTAGAGGGTTGTGTATGCAGGCACATTCAAAGTGCCTGCCAAGGGGGGGACATTTCATAGTGTAGGCAGGACTGTGCCATGATTGGTGGACGGCGGCCACGCACAGCCTTCCTGCGCAAAGATGTAGAATAAATTTGATTTTTTCGATATTCCACCAAGGTATGTCATTTTCAGAGTCCTCTAGCTTAACTAGGAATTCAAATCCCAACCTTCAGAATTCAGATCCCAGTGCCAATAATTTTCATTTGCAGGGGTTCTTTGAGGATTGTGATTCTTTTGTATCGTCACAAACTTCTGCTTACAAGAATTAAGTACCTTACATTTAACTTACTTGCAACTTACTGGCATGTCTTAAAGATATGAGCCCCAGAACAAATGTGCAATTTAAAAAGTAGGGGAATGAAGGGAATATCATGACAGATCAATAGTAGTAATTATGGGCCCCAGCAAAAGGGGAAGGGAGAAAGGAATAATCATGTTAGTGACCAGGATGAGCGCCAAGCATCAGCTCCTGGAGACAGTGGTGAAAACTGCATGATGAGAAATTGGAGTTATTGGAAGTTGGCATAAAAACCACAAATATTCCTTTGAAGAATAGACAAAAACAAACAGATAACAAGGGAGAAACAAAGGCAAAGAAGAACACAGTAGATTAATCAAGATCAGTGAAATCAGGGTTATGGGGCATAGGCATAGCTAGGAAAGACAATAGTTAAGGGAGTGGGAGGCCGGATTAGGTAAGCAGTTACTCCAGCTTTAATGTCGCTGTTAGTTAGCAACAACATTCCACTCGAGACTAATATGTTTAATAACTACTTGCCTTAAGTTTCAGAATGTCTTCATTGGAGAATGAGTTTACCGTGTAGGACATCAACTTTTTGAAGTGAATAATTTTTACACACGATTCTTCGTATTTTTGTTTCAAGGATTCATGATCCTCCAGGAGTCTTTCGTATTGTTCTTTGTGCTGCTTTTCAGCAGCAGCAGCAGTAGTTATGGGCCCCAGCAAAAGCTGAAGGGGAAGAGAGCTTCCCACAACGCTTAAGGCGTGTATCCCAATGTGCTGAAGGCTGACTTTTCAATGAGTTGCTTGACTTCCGGTGTCCACAAACTGTCAATCTCACCTTCCACCTTCATCTCTACCATCAACCTCATTAAAAAATGAGGCTGATGAAATGGGAGAGGTGGTACAGGTATAGATAAAATCTAATTTAATGGAAAGGGGGGTGTGGAAGGGTACAAGAATACAGCATAGATACTGTATGATAAAGAGGTTTCAATAACTTCTTTGAGTTTGTTATGCTATGCAGGTTGGTGGGCTTGTAGGAGGAGCCAAGCTGGGAGTGAGCAGGAAAGGAGTACTATCACTGTATTTACAAGATCCCTCTGTCCCAGAATTTTAGTGACCGTCTTAATGAGCATCTCCTCTTACTTTATACTGGGAAGGCATGTTAATCCTGGCAATTTGTTTATTATATTGTGCTGTAATCCATACTAAATGGTTTTTGGGCTGTTGCCCTCCATTTCTATATGGAAATATGTTCTTTTGAGACTGCATTTAGAATGTTTTTTTTTTTTTTTACAACTTGGAAATTGCATTACATTCCAAAACCATGAAATTTGTTAACAAATAAGTGTATTGTACTATTAAATTAAATTTATTGATAATGAACTAGGCTGATTAAAAAAGTCGGCATAGCCCAGGAATCCCTTGCCCAAGCATGAAAAGAGTAGCAGATGCCATCTCACCATTCGGTCACTACAGACTACTGTGAAAGAATGAACAAAAGGGCCATTAAAGGCAGTGTTGTAACCACTTGAAAGTGGGTGGAGGCTGCCTGCCAAACTAGAATGGGCAGCAGGAATAATACCTGCTCAGGGAGGAGCAGCACCAGAACCTCTTCCCCCAATACACAAGTCTGAAAAAGACAAGTTTTTTTTTTTTTTTTTTTTTTTTTTTTTTTTTACAAAATTTCAAGATCCATTGTTGAGCTGGAAGTTTTCTTTACATTAATATATTTCATTTCAGCATTTTATGGTCTGTATTATGTATTGCAAAATTAACAATGTGGTTTTATGGGCATTTTGTGGCTTCTGTATGATACAATATTGTACTTTCAGGTTCGTCTTGCAAGAAATTTGCTCCAGACTGTCATTGGCAACTGGTATGCTCGTGATCCAACCATAACATCGTGTTTCTCGCAGCTGCAACAATTAGCAGTGTGTGCTGCTGGAGCCATGCTAAACGATGATCTAAACATGATGGGATCCTGTATTAATGATTACTGGAGCTTAAAGAAAATGGTTGCCTCAGGCTGTGAACCAAGCAAGGTAAAAATTTACAAATTGTACTTTCTAAATGCTTTATCTAGTGTTTTTATGTTAACGTTTTCAATGTTACCCAATAAACCAAAATCTCATTTAGTCTTAATGGCTTATCTCAAAATGGTAAATTTTTTGTATATTTCAATCATTATAATAACCCTGCACGTATTACTGCAGTTAGTTATAAACCAGTCTTTTCAATAAATACCTTGTATCATTAGATTGTTGGGTAATGCAGTATTATCTTGACACCCCATATGGAAATTCACCCGATGGCCTCTGTTTTAATGACCTTGTTGTCGGCAGGAAGCCAGTGGTTTGGAGAGTGTTACCTTTTATATTTTCTATGATTAGAATAAGATTAACCAGTTTGAGAGAAACAAAGAAGTGCTTTATAATATTTCGTTGTCAATCCGTAGCACAGTGGTCAGTAGTCGGTTCGCAACCAAAAGTTACTAGGTTTGATTCCTGTGGACAGAGAAAGATGCTTGGGTGCAATTTCCTCCACCCAATTCCTTTGTTCACATAGCACTTAATATATATTTTGAGGTCAGGCAACTGTTGGAAAAGGTCAGTAGTTGGCCCTGGGGGACCTCAATAAACCTAACAGCCTTCCTGTCCCAAACGATGGGAAACCCTATATACAGTATAAAGCATATTTTCCAATAGCTTACTTAGGATGCAAGCTCTAATCATATTTACTGTTATTTTGCCAATCTTCCATAATTGCTATTAATTGTATGTACAATAGTAAATAACTCACATTTCAAACTAATATTTGTAACCCAAACTAAAATACAGAATATTACTATTCCATAAATTTGAACTCTTATGTGCCTAATATGCTATAAATTCAAATATTAATAATAATAATAATAATATAATTATCTTAATCTTTTTATGTTATGAGTGGGAGTCAGAATAATACATTTTAATTTTACGTACTGTAATACTATGTAATTATTACAGTATTTTTAACAATAAAATACTGTATTATTCATTGCCGATACACTCCTAACAAGATGATGATTAAGCAAAGCAATTATTTTCAGGTGTCCAAGCTCATGGCCACCTTACACAATCACTGTCTGGGCATGTCTCTGGCTGGCGCTGGTGGAGATGGCTACCTTTATGCATTAAAGGACAGGCCTGGACCGCTAGAAGACAGTGTTGACCTTGGTGGGTTAACTAGCGACTGTTGAAGTTGACCAGCAAGGACTAGAGTTAAGGGTTATCTTGAGATGATTTCGAGGCTTTAGTGTCCCCGCGGCCCGGTCCTCGACCAGGCCTCCACCCCCAGGAAGCAGCCCGTGACAGCTGACTAACACCCAGGTACCTATTTTACTGCTATGTAACAGGGGCATAGGGTGAAAGAAACTCTGCCCATTGTTTCTCGCCAGCGCCCGGGATCGAACCCGGGACCACAGGATCACAAGTCCAGTGTGCTGTCCGCTCGGCCGACCGGCTCCCCCACAGGGTAGGGGGAGAAATGTTCACTCAAGTTAGTGAAGATGATGATTTGACCCATGAGAAGTGGCTTACACTGCTTGAAGTAATAAAAGTACAGTAGTTAGCAATATTTCAGCTCAGTATAATGGAGACTATTTTTATGCTCTTTTTGACATAGCAGTAAAAGGCTCCAGTTTCTCTTCACTTCCATTTGTATAATTGCCCATATTCCAGAATCAGTCTTTATACCCTGTTTAAGCAATCTTATTATTGACAATTGTAAACAAAACTGAAACACTTATAAATGTCTTAATTATTGTAATATTATTCCATAAATCTTATAAAACTGTTGGCATTCTTTAAAATACATAATAATAAAATTGGTCTGGCTACTACCACCAGTCAGTGACTATAGTGGCCATTGCCCCTGAAAACATTATCTTTTTTTTCAGATGTACTGTACATTAACAGGTCAAGTTAAGGCTGGCAGTTCAGTTTCCATCAATAGAAATACCTGTAACTGGAGATCTCGCAGCCCACCAGGTGATGTTGCCAAGTTTGTGTTGTGATGATGTCACCCCACTGTTTCTTCCATCCCCTTCAGGGTTATGAGGTCTAGCTCCCTTAACTTATCCTCATAGCTTAACACTCTTAGCTCGGCCACTAATTTTGTTACAAAATTTAGTAGTTTTCACTTGTTTTTACGCTTCAGAAAGTGTAGATTCCAGGCCGTTGCTGCATATTCTGGTATAGCTTTTACAAAAGCTGTGTAGATTGCCTTGAGTACTGATTTAGGGTTCTGAATGATGATCTAATGGTTTACCAAAGTGCTTTAAGTTGGTATTCTCACACTTCTGTATTTTCCTTAAAATAATTTTTTAATTAAAAATATATGTACAGTACACACAATCTGTAATAACAAATTTTAGCTATAAAGGGTATTTTCACAACTTTGCATTACTGGACTGTATCTGAATAAAGTTCCCAGTTCCAATGGAGGTTTTGTTATGTACTTGGCAATCTCTCGTAAGAATTCTTGTATACTGCTGTCAGAGACAGGAGCGGCCAAACTGTCTTGGGTATGTTGGGGTCATCCTAGTCAAGGCTACTTGCATGGTCATCCATCCAGTTACTAGTCAGACACCACAGTGAAGGGCTGAACTTGACTGAGTGATATGGGCATGGAGCAGTTGCTAGATGTGCACATCTGAAAAAAAAAGTCCAAATACAGTACTGTATATCCTTTTCCCAATACAGTAATCTATTCTGAATTGTTAAGTTTTCTTTATGACCTGTACAGTGATTAAAAGTACAAAACTACTAATATTGTTTGTCATTCAATTAGACAAGAGTACAATTCATTATATACTGTATATCATTTGGGATGATACCAATTTGTACTCTAAACTGCCTTCATACATATTAGCAGTTAGTTTTACTTATAATACTTATATGCAGGTTTGATTTGATTGGTTGTTCTGATTTATTCGCACCTTGACTACTTGGTCATTTTGTGCCTTACTTTGCACTGTAGACTATATAATATTTATTTTCCAAATCGGTTAGGGAAAGCGTTTTTTTATCAGCACAATTAGAGCAAAACTGTACTGTTTTAATGTTTGCCATACAACATTCAGTATTCCAATTATTTTCGATCACTGAAGTGTTTTAGGTTGTGTAACCAGTGCAAGTAAACAAACAAATTAAGTAAGGTGCTCAAATTTATATAAATAATTGATGCAAATTTTGCTGTGAAGTGAGGGGAGGGGATGGGGGGGGGGAGGAAGCACAGCTTAATGAGAAAATCCGTTGAGCAGGGCGGTGGAATTGCACCCAGCATCTTGGAGTGATCCTAGATGCACACCATACTTATGGACCATGATGAGGTTCTTAAAAGCAACACAACCAGATGTCCACCTGAACTCAAGGTATTTGGAGGCATCAAGCCGATATCTAATCCAAGGTTTACATGTTGCCTGCACGCACAATGGATTGGGAACAGAGTTCTTCACCAAAGGATTTAATCAAATACAAAGCAAAATCACACTGTGATGTATCTACAAGAAAATCTTGGAGCAGGGTGGTGGAAAAGGACCAGCATCCTGGGGGTCACCCTAGGATGCTGGTTTAATTCCCTACCCTTCCCCAAAGATTTTCTCATGGATATAAGGTAAGGTAATTATCAAAAGAAGGCACCAAACCGGGAAGGCTATGTAGCACCATCAAAGTGCGAAATAATCAGAGGGCGCTAAATATCACCAAGAATGCCAATACGAGAACAAAAACGCATAAGGCGAACGATATCAAAAGTATCCGATTCACCTAGAATTCTATCGAGGGACAAGTGACCGCGAGGGACGGTCGGAAAGCAA